AGTTTAAATCTAAAAATGCAGATATAGGATTATTTTATTAATTTTTGGTTTATCTGTCAAAGTAACATAAAAGTAAGGTTAGACCTTGATAGAATAGAAAAGAAGAAGAGAACGCTCTTACTGTATTATATATTGGACGTATTCCTTTAACTTCACCAAATTTCTTTTATAGGATTTTTTTTTTGCTTGAAGGTAATATCTTTCCTGCGTCTTATTAATATGATCATAAGGTATTGTACTTTTATATATCAGAAACTGACAAATAAATAGAATATTTTGATTTTTTCTTTAATAATAAGAAATCATTTTTTCACGTTCACGAAGAAAATTTTCTATGGTATAAATAAGTCTATGGTTTGTATTCTTATACTTATCTATAGACATTAAATCTAACCGCTGACGTAATTGTATTCAGACAAATTATAATTGTATTGTATTACTGACTTAGTCATAAATGTCAAAAATATTTTCCAGTTAGTACTGTTTTTGTTGATAAATATTCTGAATTTGATAATATAACGTTTTTCCATTAAAAGATCGTAAATTATAATTTTTTGTGATTTGTAAACGCTAATAATGGCTCCCTCCCAAGACAACAATAGCGAAATAAGCGAGAAAGATATTGTAGAGAAGGAAAACTTATGGTAAGAAGTCTTGTCATAGTACTGCGTCAAAATGTAAGTTAAAAAGTTTGCAAATATTGTAGGTCATCCATTCTTAATGATGTAAGAGATCATGGTAATAACAAGCTACCCTCTTGTAAGCAAGTCCTAGTTTTGGGAGATAATGAATCTGGAAAAACTACTTTAGTAGCCAAACTTCAAGGTGCAGAAAATCCAAAGAAAGGTTCAGGATTGGAATATGCTTACATTGATGTTAGAGATGATTACAGAGATGGTATTTTACAAATCACATGTGGTAGAGAATATTTTGATTTAAACTTTTATTTTAGATCATACAAGATTAAGTGTATGGGTGTTAGATGGGGATCCTGGTCATACAGGATTGTTGAAATTTGCATTAAATGAAGAGACATTTCCACATACTTTAGTCATCCTTACAGTAACAATGACTGCTCCTTGGGGAATTCTAGAGCAGCTGCAACATTGGGCATCAGTTTTAGCTGATCATCTTGATAAGTTAAAGTTAGACTTAGACACAAGACAAGCACGAAGGTATTTTATCATTCTACTTTATTTACTAATTAACTAGTTAATTGTAGCACCAACTGTAAATACTATTCCTATGTATAGATTTTTATGTGTACTTAGTTAATCAATTTATTATTTTAATTTTAATATTTTACAGGCAACATATTGTTAGAATATGGCAAGAGTATGTGGAGCCTGGTGATGAATTAGATCCTGCTTCTCCCATGAAAAGGAGTTCAAGAAATCTTGGTGAAAGTGATCATGATAATGAATTGGGAGAGGGTCTCCCACTACCTGAAGGAACTCTCACTAGTAATCTCGGATTAGACATAGTAGTGGTTGTTACAAAAGTAAGATTTGTTTAAATATAGTTTAACTTTTGATAAATTATTAAGCAACTTAAAAAGCTTCTACTATTACTTGTTATGTATGTGTAGATATTCACATTTCTTTTAAACATTTTTCAAAGGAAATTTTTACACTAAAAATGTTCCATTCAAGGAAAGGTTCAATGATTAGTTAATGATCCTGACTTCCAATGTTAAAATTAACTGTTTCTTGTTAGTGTAAAAGTAATAGGTCATATTTACTGTATGTATTGATTTCTACTTTAAGACTGACTACATACAAACATTGGAAAAAGAGCATGATTATAGAGATGAGCACCTGGATTTTATGCAGCAATGGATAAGACGTTTTTGCCTTCAGTATGGAGCAGCATTATTTTATACAAGTGCAAAGGAAGACAAAAATTGTGATTTATTGTATAAATATCTTACTCATCGTATTTACGGCCTTCCATTTAGGACTCCAGCCCTAGTAGTTGAAAAAGATGCAGTATTCATGTAAATATAATAATAATTTTGCTATTTAATTAGCATTATTAATGTAAATATATTATTTAGACCTTCTGGTTGGGATAATATGAAGAAAATCAGTATTTTGCATGAAAATATGCATACGTGCAAGCCAGACGATTATTATAGAGATATAATTGTACAGCCAGTAACTAGAAAGGTACTTAACATTTTTTACAATTATATGACTATATTCGGAGTTTGTTTAATTCGTTCTATTTTTAGACTGTGAGTCGGGATTCTGAAATTTTGGCTGAAGATGAGCAAGGATTTTTAACACGTCAACTACAAATTCTTTTAGCAGGTGGTGGCTTGGCCCCACCGTCTGTAAGACCCGGTGAATCTCCAATCCGTTCCACAGCTTTAGGAAAAGGCACACCAAGATCTCCAGTCACACCTGGCATGCAAAACTCTCCAAAAAAGGTAAATTTATCGCATGATAGGGCCAATTTTTATCTACATAAAACTTCGTTAATTTTATTAACAAACGTATGAATCAAATTCAAATTAATTTTAACTACATATAAGTGTTTTGTGCAAAAAGTATAAAGAAATGTAACAATGCCATTTCAAGATACTTAGAAGACAGTTCTTTATAAACTTTTTCTATTTATATTTGTCTTTATCTCTAATAATCGTTATCACGTTATTCTTATTTAATAAAAAATTAAAGTTTTTTGTCAATGATGGTCTTAATGGTCTCAATGGCCTTAACTGTGTGTGTTGTCTTGTCACTTACAAGTTCTGTATAGGCGGGCGAATTAGCGAAAATCAATTATAAAGCAAAAACATTTTTTCATCTTCTCTTAATGGAACCTATCAAAACAATTGGATCCATCGTACTTACACAAAACAATTTTTAAACATTCATATTACTAATTTTTAATTACCTAATAATTGTTAGTAAACAGTCTACGTATCGTTTATTTTCAGTTGGATGGATCAAAGGTGGTCAATTCTCCCGGTGGAGAAGGAGTACTTGCAAATTTTTTCAACTCCTTATTGCATAAGAAAACCGTTGGCAGTCCTGCAAGTCCAATAGCTGCGGGAATAGCTAAAGCAGGTGTTAATCCTGAACTAACTCCTGATAAAGCCGCTATGCGTTCAGACGCAGCAGCAGAATTAGATCGACTTGCTCGTGGAAGAAAGCCGTCTAATGGAGGAAATGGAGTAGATTTTAACACCACCGATTGTTAAATTAATGAATTAATGCAATTTATTAGGCACATCTACATTGCACTTCCATTATTACAATTTTAGCTAATTTATGTTTATATTTTTGTAGTAACTCTGTGATACGTTTTGAAAGCTTTCAACATTTTTTAAATTATGTTGTGTTGTAACACTTTTTATAACTTATTTTGCTTTGATGAATAAAATAACTTGTTTAATTCAATATAGGATTTTTTCACTTATGAAATGAACTTTTCTTCAGTTTTTGGGTCATATCTAATAAAAAAATTTCTTTAATTATGGTGTATAATCTATAATGGTATACAGCTTTAAAATGTACAATGCTTAAATTATAACAAGAAAATTAATAGGCTGATCACAAGCTTATTTCAATTGAATACGTCTTACATTTCTATCTGCCAAACTTATTCTGGTTGTCATTTTTGTGCCTATGATATAATCTATTATTTATAGATTTCATTTCTATAGATACAGTGATACGTAAATATAACCTACAAATTTTAACAAAAAACTGAAAAAGTGGTAATGAATTTATCTAGGTAAACACTTTTAGTTAAAGATTAATTAAAAGTGCGTCTGTTTTGCAGAAACGTTAATAACCTTTATACAAAATGGGTAAAAATAAAGACAAGAAGCGGAGAAAACGTTATGAAACTTCCAGTTCAGATTCAGATGATGTAGATAGTGCAGAAGAGGCTAGATTAAGGGACATTAAAGAACGAGACGAGTTTGCAGAGCGACTTAAAAAACGAGATGAAGAAAAAGTCAGGAAAATTGTTCAAGCTTCAGATAAACGAGCCTATGAAGAAGCTGCAAAAAGACTCAAATTGGAAATACAGGACAAGGAGAAGATGGTACCAAAGCTTCGAATTGAATCACGTCGAAAATATTTAGAAAAACGAAAAGAAGATAAAGTAGTAGAACTGGAAGCAGATATTGTTGATGATGAATATTTATTTGAAGAAGAAATGTATGTTACATGTTTTGCCTTTTTTTTTGTATTCGTATTCAACACCTTGCTTTTGTTTACAGATTGACTGAACGTGAGAAAAAAGATCGTGAACACAAGAAAAAATTATTGAAATTAGCTAAGGAACATGAACAAGCCAGAGAACTTGAACAAGTTCAACGTTATCATATGCCTAGAGATTTAGGAAAAGGTGCTTCTTCTGATTATGTGGAGGTTGATGACCTAGAAAAGGTTCCCCATTCTGAACAGAAAAAATGGGAACAGGAACAAATGGCCTCTGCACAATTTAGTTTTGGAGCCAAAGATGTTTCAAAGAAAGATGAATATGAGTTATTATTAGAAGATCAAATTGAATTCATTCAAGCTTTACAAATGCCTGGTATTACCTTTAATTCATTAAAAGTAATCTAATTTTAATTAATATGTTCTTTAAGGTTCAAAAGATAAGGAAGAAAAGAAGCCAGAATTGACAGAATTACAGAAGAAGAAGCTTGATATTCAGGAAACCAAGATTAGTTTACCAGTGTATCCATTTAGAGATGATATAATTCAAGCAGTTAAGGATCATCAAGTTTTAATTATTGAAGGAGAGACAGGATCTGGAAAAACAACTCAAATACCTCAGTACTTACATGAAGCTGGATTTACAGAAAATGGTAAAAAAAATCTATTTTTCAGTTTTTAAATTATCTAACATACTGTTATTTTTATAGGTCAAAAAATTGGCTGCACGCAACCTCGTCGTGTAGCCGCAATGTCGGTAGCGGCAAGAGTAGCTCAAGAGATGGGGGTAAAATTAGGAAACGAAGTTGGTTACAGTATTCGTTTTGAAGACTGTACTTCAGAACGGACTGTAATTAAATATATGACAGACGGCACACTGCACAGGGAATTTTTGTCTGAACCGGACCTTCAATCTTATAATGTTATGATAATTGATGAAGCTCATGAACGTACCCTTCATACGGATATTCTTTTTGGTTTAGTCAAAGATATCGCTCGATTTCGACCAGATTTAAAGTTATTAATATCCAGTGCTACTTTGGATGCACAAAAATTTTCAGAATTTTTTGACGACGCTCCTATATTCAGAATACCAGGACGAAGATTTCCGGTTGATATCTACTACACAAAAGCACCTGAAGCTGATTACGTTGACGCCTGTGTAGTATCTGTATTACAGATTCACGCAACTCAACCCCTTGGTGATATTCTTGTATTCTTAACAGGTTGATAAAACACTTTTATACTTGATAAATACTGTTTTAAGGATTTTATTATAAAATCTCTTCTATTTCTTATAAACATTGTATATAGATATTCCAGAGTTTATATTAAATTATTATTTTTTGTTTATTTCAGGTCAGGATGAGATAGAGACATGCCAAGAACTTCTACAGGACCGTGTTCGTCGTTTAGGTTCAAAACTTAGGGAACTTTTAATTTTACCAGTTTACGCGAATTTACCAAGTGACANTTCAGAGTGTAACAATTCATCCAAACAGTTCGTTATTTGAAGACTTACCAAGGTGGGTACTCTACCACGAATTGGTATTCACAACGAAGGAATTTATGCGACAAATAATAGAAATTGAAAGTAAATGGCTGTTAGAAGTTGCACCTCATTACTACAAGCCCAAAGAGCTTGAAGATCCAACAAATAAAAAAATGCCGAAAACTGTAGGTCGCAGTACGAGAACTGAATAGAATATCTTAAAACTATTAATCTAATGTAATGTATAGAATGTTTTGGTCACTTTTTGAGCTTTTTTTTATTATACTTACAAGTATAATTTGTAAATAACGATTTTATAAATATAATTTACAACATTAATTGTTTATTTCTTTACATTATCATACACTGATATGTGTACATATATTAACAAAAATGTTCAGTAATAAAGGTACATTGAAAAAAATCACAAATACTAAAAACCAATAATAGAATGTAACATATCTCAAGCTTTAATTTAGTTTTATCCTGCATTTGGACATCCCTGTACATAATAATCCTAAAGAGGGGATAAAAAAAAACTACTTTAAAAGTTATGCTAATATTAAACGGGGAGTCTGAAAAAATTTACTATTTTCAATATCAATTAAAAATATATAGAATACAGTAACGTTCATACTGTGAGTCGAAAAAACAAGTTATTAATTTGATATCGATTTGTATTCCAGAGTTTATATTAAATTATTATTTTTTGTTTATTTCAGGTCAGGATGAGATAGAGACATGCCAAGAACTTCTACAGGACCGTGTTCGTCGTTTAGGTTCAAAACTTAGGGAACTTTTAATTTTACCAGTTTACGCGAATTTACCAAGTGACATGCAAGCCAAAATATTTATGCCTACACCTCCAGGAGCCCGTAAGGTTGTACTGGCCACAAATATCGCTGAAACATCCCTAACTATCGACAATATAATTTATGTAATCGATCCCGGATTTGCAAAACAGAATCATTTTAATTCACGAACAGGTATGGAAAGTTTAATGGTTGTTCCTATTTCTAAAGCATCTGCCAATCAGAGAGCTGGTAGAGCCGGAAGAGTCGCACCAGGAAAATGCTTCCGTCTTTATACCGCTTGGTCTTACAAGCATGAGCTAGAAGATAATACGATTCCTGAAATACAGAGGATAAATTTGGGCAATGCAGTATTAATGTTAAAAGCATTGGGGATCAACGATTTAGTTCATTTTGACTTTTTAGACCCTCCTCCTCATGAAACGTTAGTATTGGCTCTAGAACAACTGTATGCATTGGGTGCTTTGAATCATCATGGAGAACTAACGAAACTTGGTCGAAGAATGGCCGAGTTTCCAGTAGATCCAATGATGGCCAAAATGTTACTCGCATCCGAAAAGTAAGTACAATTTAATCTTGGCAGTCCAAATTATTTCGGACTAAAAATTTTTCTAATTATTTGCAAAACTAAAATAAATACTACGATCTTAGATTAACATATTCGAATTATCAAAAAATATATCTTACTTGTTATCGATATTAATTTTAAATTACATTTAAAGATACCAGTGCTCGGAGGAAGTAGTCACAATTGGCGCAATGCTCTCTGTTAACGGTGCTATATTTTATCGCCCAAAAGATAAAATTATTCATGCAGATACAGCAAGAAAGAATTTTAATCATATCCACGGTGATCACTTAAGTCTATTAAACGTCTATAATCAGTGGAGAGATACTGATTATTCTACCCAGTGGTGCTATGAAAATTTTATTCAGTATAGGTAGATTCTTGAAAACTGAATATTAGTTCTTTGTTGTTAATTTCTTTGTTTCATTTCAGATCAATGAAAAGGGCAAGGGATGTCCGTGAACAGTTGGTTGGTCTTATGCAAAGAGTTGAAATCGAAATGGTTTCAAATCCACTAGAAAGTGCAAATATACGAAAAGCCATTACTGCTGGGTATTTTTATCATATTGCGCGATTTTCCAAGGGAGGTTCTTATAAAACGGTGAAACATAATCAGGTACGCTGTTTTTCATACACACTAGACGTTCAATAGTGTGAACTGAAATACAATAATAGTTGTTCACATTATTGACTCATAAAGAATTTTAATTATATTACTTTTTATTTATTTATTTAACAATAAAATGTTTACAAAAATAAATGAATAGATAGTAAATATGTAATAAACGTTTATGTATAATTTGTTTCGTTGATCAAGAAACTACTAATACAATTTTTTTCCATTCTGGGAAACTCCAAACTTTTCTTATACCTGGTTTGACCCATATAGTTGTAGATTTTGTAACACCAAACTTTTTGACTATCATTTAATGCTTGAATCACGAGCAATTATAAATCTACTATGGATTGAAAATGATTTATTCACTAAAACGTCGAGAAATAATTCTTTATACTTTTCAGTTTTACTTAATCCACTTTTTATTCATTTGTCTGAATTAAGTGGAAAATGTTTAGAAAATTTAACAGTTTCNTCTAACAATAATTATTAGAACTCGTTATATCGGCAGGTAATTTAAACTTCACTGTTGTTAACGTTATTAAGCACATATTTTCTGAGAACTAATTGAATACTTTATTGAACTGTAAAAGTTCTCAATAATTGATATTAAGTTCGTATTTCCCATTAAGATATACGAAAATATAAAATACTGAGCTACTTCATACTTCTTTTCACTTTTATTGAACTTATTTTACAAACATTATGTTTATTTATGATCGAAAGTTTTGTTAATTTGTATAAATACTTAAAAGCAATTTGGATGTAGCATTTGTGTAAGTCGCAAGTAGATGTACTGTGTACCATTTACTAAGATTTATTTAACAGCCTGATCAAGAAAATTCTCTCGAATTCTGGATAACTTTAAAGCTTTAGACATATTCTTCCCCACGTTTAGCAATTAACACAAGTAAAAAATAATAACTGTGTTTTGTTATAATCACCATAGGACAAAAATATACATTTTAGTTAATGATATATAAATATAAATTACGAAATAAATATCACATTTAACTGCAGTCTATTAAAATCCAGCCTTTTCTAAATTTTGTAATTGCTGGGTTAATTTTTCCTCTTTAGTTCGTCGCATTTGACTCAATGAGCGAATATGCAAATAAAGATTTATGAACTTATCAACCTCCATTCCACCGCTAAGGAATTTTTCAGCAATATGATCACTTTCAGAATCAGCATTAATCGCTGCCTGACGTAATTGCTCCTTAAATAGTAAATTTTTAAATAACATTAATAAATAACGTATAGCACACTCACATTTATATTTTTTGGTGAATACTTTTCAGATAGCATTTGATAAGTATTATTTAGTTTTTCATTTTCTAATGCTAACTTTGTTACTTCTTCAATTTTCTCCTCAACATCACCCTTAAGCTTCTCTAAATAATCTTTTTTTCCTAAATTACATTCTTATTTCCAATAAAAAGAGACAGCAATCAATTAGGTACAAGCCTCAATGAAACAATTACAATAACATATATGATAGTTACCAGCAAGTTCTTCAATCTGCAGAATGAGTTCATCTATTGCTTTATTCATTTCTTTTATTTGTGGAAGTTCCTCTAAAAACTCCTCTTGTGCTTCCAATGATTCGTTTAAAAATTGTAAATCATCTAAACTTAAATTATTCAGTTCTGGCAAAGTAACTGACTGTGGTAAATGTGAAGAGGTATAGTGATACGTTGGGGGAGAAAAATTATTTAAACCAGGGTAAGAACTAATTGGACTAACTTTCCCTCTGTTTTCCATATCTAAAGATAAACCAATAGTAACAAAAAGTCTTATACACACAACATATACCAAGTAAAATGAAAAAATATATAGGCACTTGTATAGTATTTCTATAATCTTCTAATCAAATAGATAGTACATAAATAAAATACAAACCTCTAACAGGTACTGAAGGAGATGAATTACTGAGACACTGTTCTGTTGTAAGAGGTGGGGGAGTCCTTTCAAATTCTCTTATGATAGCTTGCACAACTCTTCCTAAATCTGAATGTACTGTAAACTAAACAATGAAATAGAGAATTATCCTAATAGCATTATACAAAATCGCACATTTAGCAAGCCAGGTGCTGATTTAATTTCACCCTCCTGATCTACCCATGGATGGACAACCACTGGAGAAATTTTTAAAATGGGTCTTTCATTTGGAAAATCGTTAGAAAGCAAGACTCGAAGACAAAAATCGTAAATTCCAGCTTTGAATAGCACATTATATTCCGAATCTTGAACTACTTCAATTACACTAGAACATTAAAAAATTGTAACTTTCTAGTATTGTTAAAAATAAGTAAATATAAACATACTTATCATTAAAAATCTTCAATGTATTAATTTGACGTTGACGAGAAGTGGAATCTGGCCTGTATAGTCCCTGAACCATCATTTTTTAACAAGTTTAAATCTAAAAATGCAAATATAGGATTATTTTATTAATTTTTGGTTTATCTGTCAAAGTAACATAAAAGTAAGGTTAGACCTTGATAGAATAGAAAAAAAGAAGAGAACGCTCTTACTGTATTATATATTGGACGTATTTCTTTAACTTCTCCAAATTTTTTTTATAGGATTTTTTTTTTGCTTGAAGGTAATATCTTTCCTGCGTCTTATTAATATGATCATAAGGTATTGTACTTTTATATATCAGAAACTGACAAATAAATAGAATTTAGGAAATCGAGTTGGAAATTGGAAGATTGTTTATTTTTAATCGAATATAGTTCCGAAAACCTTTACCTGCGTGACATCTAACAATCATAGCAGGTAAAATTGAAGTAATTAACATTCTTACGAATGTATATTTACCGTAAACTGTAAAGAAATTTCAAAAACATGATGAGGCGACATCTAACAGCTACAATTAAAACACTTAGCAAAACTGGTAATACAGATTATCTTCAATATTTAAAAAAAACCTACATATCGAAGTGTTTTAATGTATGTTGTGGTATTTCCAAAAATTTAGTTATATTATTTCGAAAGCGAGTTAAAAATAAAATTGAACGATCGTACATTTTTAATCGAATTATAATTCAAAAATCCTTACATTGGCGACATCTAACAATAATTATTAGAACTCGTTATATCGGCAGGTAATTTAAACTTCACTGTTGTTAACGTTATTAAGCACATATTTTCTGAGAACTAATTGAATACTTTATTGAACTGTAAAAGTTCTCAATAATTGATATTAAGTTCGTATTTCCCATTAAGATATACGAAAATATAAAATACTGAGCTACTTCATACTTCTTTTCACTTTTATTGAACTTATTTTACAAACATTATGTTTATTTATGATCGAAAGTTTTGTTAATTTGTATAAATACTTAAAAGCAATTTGGATGTAGCATTTGTGTAAGTCGCAAGTAGATGTACTGTGTACCATTTACTAAGATTTATTTAACAGCCTGATCAAGAAAATTCTCTCGAATTCTGGATAACTTTAAAGCTTTAGACATATTCTTCCCCACGTTTAGCAATTAACACAAGTAAAAAATAATAACTGTGTTTTGTTATAATCACCATAGGACAAAAATATACATTTTAGTTAATGATATATAAATATAAATTACGAAATAAATATCACATTTAACTGCAGTCTATTAAAATCCAGCCTTTTCTAAATTTTGTAATTGCTGGGTTAATTTTTCCTCTTTAGTTCGTCGCATTTGACTCAATGAGCGAATATGCAAATAAAGATTTATGAACTTATCAACCTCCATTCCACCGCTAAGGAATTTTTCAGCAATATGATCACTTTCAGAATCAGCATTAATCGCTGCCTGACGTAATTGCTCCTTAAATAGTAAATTTTTAAATAACATTAATAAATAACGTATAGCACACTCACATTTATATTTTTTGGTGAATACTTTTCAGATAGCATTTGATAAGTATTATTTAGTTTTTCATTTTCTAATGCTAACTTTGTTACTTCTTCAATTTTCTCCTCAACATCACCCTTAAGCTTCTCTAAATAATCTTTTTTTCCTAAATTACATTCTTATTTCCAATAAAAAGAGACAGCAATCAATTAGGTACAAGCCTCAATGAAACAATTACAATAACATATATGATAGTTACCAGCAAGTTCTTCAATCTGCAGAATGAGTTCATCTATTGCTTTATTCATTTCTTTTATTTGTGGAAGTTCCTCTAAAAACTCCTCTTGTGCTTCCAATGATTCGTTTAAAAATTGTAAATCATCTAAACTTAAATTATTCAGTTCTGGCAAAGTAACTGACTGTGGTAAATGTGAAGAGGTATAGTGATACGTTGGGGGAGAAAAATTATTTAAACCAGGGTAAGAACTAATTGGACTAACTTTCCCTCTGTTTTCCATATCTAAAGATAAACCAATAGTAACAAAAAGTCTTATACACACAACATATACCAAGTAAAATGAAAAAATATATAGGCACTTGTATAGTATTTCTATAATCTTCTAATCAAATAGATAGTACATAAATAAAATACAAACCTCTAACAGGTACTGAAGGAGATGAATTACTGAGACACTGTTCTGTTGTAAGAGGTGGGGGAGTCCTTTCAAATTCTCTTATGATAGCTTGCACAACTCTTCCTAAATCTGAATGTACTGTAAACTAAACAATGAAATAGAGAATTATCCTAATAGCATTATACAAAATCGCACATTTAGCAAGCCAGGTGCTGATTTAATTTCACCCNTGATTCTCAAGAAATCTTATCCGGCTATAGTGACCCAAATGATTAATAATAACACTTTCGCTCATTTTTCTGACCTTCTTATGTATATTGATATTACAATTCATTCTTTTTTTTTTTCTTTTTCTGTTAATAAGTATATACAATTTGTAATACAATTTGTGGTTTTTCACTCCATTAAAGTAAATAATTAACCAAAATAGAGTTGTTTATTTTCTAATACTATGCTTCGTACGACGCCCGCTCAGTATGACGTGTTTGTCACTTCCCTTCGATGTCATTATAAGCGGATTCTATTGTAATATTAAAAATTCTTGTATAATCGATTTTATCAGTTTTCGTAGATAGAATATGTGACAAAAACATCTATTTTATGTTGCTGTCAATTTTCCAGCATCGGAATGTTTGGATATCAGGACAACTCGCCTGGACTCAGAATTGGTTCGCGATGAAGTTGAAGTGGAACTAATGAAAGAACTCGCGTTAACTGTTGAAATCGAGGAAACGTTTACCCGGACATTGAAAGATATCGAACACCAACTGCTCGAAGATAAAACCGCGAAAAATCGTTTAGAATGTGACTGGACAGATAAAAAAGAAGCGAACGAACTAGAAGCAATCAACATTGCTCTTAACAATAAGTCAAACATTTTAATGTTCAAAGCCGGATCAACACGATTTCCTGAAGAGTACGTGTCGTTTTTTAAGTTTATATTAATTTCCGTTGCTATTAATGTTATCTTTACCTAAACAGGATAAAGGCTAAAAGGAACATTAAGGACACTTCCCCAGGACGTCAAATAAATAATGAGCTTTTATATAAAAACGACCTGACAAAATTTACAGACATTGTAACCTTAATATTATCAAAGGAATTTTATGATGGTTTATTTACATTTCATTTCAAATTATAAATATAAAAAATGAAATTGCTATGATATTTCAAAAATTATACCATACAGGACAGGGATGGTCAACTAGTCGATTTTGGGTATTGGGTCAGTCGATTGTAATAAATGTAAAATAAAATGTATATCAAAGAAAATAACATTTTCGAGTTAAAAAATATTTCAAGTTAATTTCAATTTCGACTTACAAAAGTTCAACTGTACAGGGTTTTTTGTGAAACTTGGACCATAATGTGATTATGGATTTGTGACATTGAAGCATGTTCTCTATAAATTTTGATAATTAATACAGACCACTTCGAATTATTTTAAAAGTAAGGAGCGGCGGAAAAGAAAAGGTTAGAAGCGTTCGAAAGGTGGTGTTATAGGCGGATGATGAGAATTTCGTGGGTAGAAAAGGTTAGAAATGAAGAAGTATTGGAAAGAATAGGAAAACAGAGGACTCTATGGAACTCAATAAAAAATAGGCGAGATAGGTTGGTAGGACACCTTCTCAGGCATGAAGGTCTAGTCAGAGACATATTAGAGGCAGCTATGTCATATTAAAAAAAAAAATAAAAATACGGCGAAAATTTGAGAATGAGAATAAATAACCACATGCCCTTATACTTTGAAATATATTTACTAATATAAACGATGGGTCCGTCTGTTCTTTAACTTCACCTTCCGCTTTACTTTCATAATTATTATTTATTCAATTTTCAATCTTCAGCCCCAACCCCTGCACCTTCACGTGTTTCCTCTCCCAACATGTATGATGTTCTGTATCTCTAATATCGAGACATTGATAATCGAAAAAAAAAAAGATAAATGATACAAGGAAAACGAATAGGAAACATGCGACACAGAAATGAAAATGAAAAAATCTAAAAATAAAACCAGTTCTCGAGTTTGGTTTGGTAACTATGAAGAAAAAAACTTCATTGAAGAATAATAAAGGCTATAACACGTTACAAAAAATGTGAGACTGAGGATAAGAATAGANCATTATAGGTACCTTCTTAAAGGACTGAACTTAGTTCTCTTCAGTAGAAAAAGGTAACTAGCTATACCACTTTAGACGTTTATGAAGATGCATTTGCGACTTATGAAAAAGCAACACCCGAATTGCTATTAAATATATAAATAATTATAATAAATAGGTTTCCAAGACTACGTGTAACGATTTAACAGTGACGTTTAGCGGTTTATCTTTAGAAATTATTGATGAAACATATAATTCATAAGAAAAATAAGGTAAAAGAGAAACTTGGGTTCCTATGGCAGAGTACCCTCCCAGAGGTTGCGGTCCTTGTCCTTATAAAGCTGGATTTCAAAAGGTTAATTTTGAAAGAGAAAAAACGTTTTAATCACATAACAAGCACTTAAAAGTTTAATTTTTCGTAGGGAAAGGATTCCGGTGATTATTTAGAAGCAAATACAGTCCCCAAGCCAGAAGTATTGTATCAAAGTCATACAAAGTTAAACGATCAAAAACTTGGTGTTCCAACTGCTGATGTTGCTCCAGATTTGAAAAAACCACCCACAGAAGGTACAGGAAACGAACCACAAAGAGATCAAAGAGAACTTAAAGAGTGTAAAAATTGTGCTCTTGGTGAACCTTCAAGTGCACCTAAAGCACCAGAACCGCAAGCGGAAGGGGCAAAGCAGCCCTTAAAGGGAATTCTCAAAAAGGAAACCCCTCAAAAACCAGAAATGTCTGCATCAGAGGGAAAAGGTAATATGTATACTAACGATGAAATACTAACTTCATAGGAATTAAAAGGCGTATAATCCACTTGGTATGTTACGTACTGAACTTTTTTAAAGGACGTAAATGATACAGACACCTGAAGATGATTGGTTAATATTTAATGAAATCGATCGTACACTATAAATTATTTGGAATAGAAATAAATATTCTTACATTACCTCATTATTAAACATACCAAAACTCACAAAAAGGTGCTACTTATATCTTATATTAGCATTTTTGCTGTAGAAAAGGGCATTCAAAAATATAAAACTTTTGCAAATCCGGAATATTTCTAATTTATGTATATTTATTTAATATTTTTAAATCCATAACTGTATAAAATTATTCACCTAATGCTTACGTATATTTTACAATTAAGAAATTCTCTAAAATTAATTTGAATTTTAAAAAAATAAAAATATGAACTGGTATAATAAAATTTTTTTTGTNTTTGAAAATAATTCATTATCCGAGAAATGTTAATAATCCCAGCAAACAATACCATCATTTGGGCCTTTTTTCTCGTTTTGAGATAAAAAAAATATAATTGAAAAGCAATTTATTTTTTTTTTTTGAAAGAACAGTTACTGAGAGTCAATATACTAAAAAAGTAAAGTACATTTCATATTGAAAAATCGTTAAACGATGGTTTCAGTATTTTACATGTATACGAGAGTCTCGGTTAAGAAAGTATATTATTGAATAATTATTATCTATAGAATAATACTCTTTTTTTTTGGAGCCCAGAAAGGATTAAAAGTAGTGTCAGCTCAGAGTTTCCTTGCTAATGTTGAAAAAGCTTCGCAGATAATTAAAAATGAATGATTTCTAGATTTTTTACTTCTACTTTTATACTATTATGAGATCCAAGCGTCAATAGTCTTGGTATAATACAGCGAAATGTACCCTGTAATCGACAGAGTTACACAAAAAGATACCTAATACTAAATTAATAATACGAAGGACATTATAGCATCTTGCTGTATAAATATAATTATTTTTTTAATAATTTAGTTTATTCTTTGTATATTTTTTAAGGAGAATCTTCTCCACCATCTGAAAGTCAACAACAACCAGAAAATAGCACTGAGCCATGCTATTTTCCTCAACCACAGGACAAAGTTCCGGATCAGAGTGTTAAAGAGGAAATGGGTCCAGTTGGACCATGGGCCACAGGACGTGTTGACTGGGGTCCTATGGCAGGATTTACTGGAACAAGACCGGTTGTCGATCGATATTCAATTACTAGATACAGCGAGGGAGAATGGCGTGCTCATAATCAAGATATGTTGAACATGTCAGCTTTGGAGCAACATAAAGCTAATCTGTAAATATTTTTATGTTGCTTACTTCAACTTTTTCAGCAAACGACGATTTAATTAAAAAAGGCATTGAAATTTCAAAGACCTACTCGTCTTTTCAAAATACTGACTACTAAAAGTAATCAAATTATACACTTACTTTTTCAATTTATACGCAAAAACTATTGAAAAGAGTTTTCCAAGTTGAGTAGAATTTTTTTGACTTATATGAGCACATTGTGGAGTCATCAAAGTTATCGTTTTTAATTTTGTTATCTGGTTTAGGCATTACAAAAATAACCTTATGAATGAAACTGCAAGTTATGTAAAATGTTGCTCATTTATTTGCATTGAAACAACAGATCTTAAAAGCAATGTATTATACAATAGGAAAAAGTAAATTGAAGGTACAAATCTTGCATTCTAGTTCGGGTTTGTTTCTTCAGGAGCATCAGACCTCTTTCAATAGAAAAAAGGTTACAAGTTATTTCAAAAATATTTGAGAATTATAGTTCTTCATAAAATACATTTGTTGTGTAATAGTAAACCATTATTACCATAATTATTAAAACAAGAAAGCTCTTTCTATAAGATTGGAAACACATAGCATTATAGGTACCTTCTTAAAGGACTGAACTTAGTTCTCTTCAGTAGAAAAAGGTAACTAGCTATACCACTTTAGACGTTTATTACCGTTTTTTGGAGTTGAGTCTTCAGTTATTTAATGTGTCCTAACAGACCTTTTTTCTTAAAATCATCATTTTATCATTTGTCATTTAAACTTGAGGTCTAACATTCGTCTTAACTAGTCAAAATACTCCACTTGCATTTGAAAACAACTTTTTCTGATTTGTAACGTAAAAACAATTCTACATATTTCGCTGAAAATTAATTAGGTAATTGTAATCACCTAATCTGCTTTACAGGAGGGTATTGTTGCTACATTTTATGAAAAGCTAGGGGATGTTGGAAACACTTTTTACACTTGTCCATATCAGGAATGATAAATATTCGACGTTTACGTCCATAAAATACGTCACTCACAATTTCACCTTTTTGCTCCCCTTATATCCCCTTCGTCACGTTAAGTCACACATTCAACGACCCCCCTATAAATACCAATGTGAACGACTTTCTACAGTAATGAAAAATTTTAAGAACTGTCCAGTTAAGAAAAAAATTAAAATGAAATTGATGAACTGCGAACGTTACATTTCCTTAGACCCCCATTCCCCTCTTGTCATAGGTCGTGACGTAAGGTAATATCCCTCCCACCCCTTTATTTGCGAATGTATTTTATGAACAACCCCATACATGAACCACACGTAATGTGGAAGAATTATATTACATTTTGCGTAACAATGTTCTCAATAATTGGCAGAAGATACTTTTTAATTTCTTGTAAATCCATCACAATAATTATTTCGTCTCAGGTTATTTAAAACAAAGGATCGTGCAGGGTCGAGTCTGCTTTAAGTACAAAAAATCACTTCTGTGTTCGCTAACAGTTAATTTATAAATTTCTAAAAGATTGTTGAGTGTATATTTTAAGTATGACTCTGTTAGAAGGAGTAGAAAAACAATTAATGGTTAGTCTGAGACATATTACGCAAAAACAGGAGAAAAGAGGGGAAAAGGGGTGCAAATAGTTGAAATGTGCATGATATAATTTTAGGGAAATGTAAAGATTGGTTTAGGATAGGAAGGAGTGTCTGATTTTCCCTTGATGATTATGAAACTACTTAAAAAATCTTCCTTTGAAGAAGCTGCTGTATGCCGAAATAATTATTTTAAGATAAATAAATAATTTGTAACTGAAACTTGTGCTGTTTTTCTGTAGATGTTATCACATTACCTCGAATTATTTGAAAATATTAATTTCGTTTTCATTATTTGTAGAATTGATTTCGATGGGCGTAAATGTCTGGAAGAAAAGAAAGCAAACGTGGATAAAAATCAGGAAGACAGTACAAACCGTCTGAGACAGAGACTGCAGGAGATGCAAAGATGGAAATGCGAATTAGAAAGCTCGATAGCGGCAGCTGCCGAGGAAATCAGCCTGTTGGACGAAGAAAGGGCACGCTTGAAAAAAGCAAAGGCCATACTACAAATGCCAATATCTATAGGTAGGTTTTAAGTTTTGATATACAGGGTGTCTTATTAAAGTAATTATATAGGGTTGTTCGGAAAGTCATTTCGTTTTTTCCCGACAGTTAGTATATCTCTAGATGGCGATATACTAACACTTTAACTTCCGCTTAGTCAGTAGATTATCCGAACTACTTTGAAAAATGCTATATGCCGTGCCAACTTGGCATATCTTCAGTCATTTTTCGCTAAGGGATAAAGTGCAGAACCTTGAAGGGGTTACAACCAATTTCCATGGTGAATATACAACAACGTGGTTAAGGAACAAAAATTCTTTCATGATAACCACATTAGTTTACAATTCGAAGCCGGTTCTGGCCGTGAATTAGCTACATAGGTGTGTGCCTATTTGCGATAAAAACTCGGCAACTGCATGGATGGAGAATGTAAACATCAACAATATTACACGACCATTACGATAAAAATGAATCAGTAACAACTTCTGTTCATCGCTGATAATATGTAGTACTATTTAAATTAGCAAGGAGGACCTAGAGATAGCTTTAAATAAAATGGAAGCGGTACTGACAGATCAGTACGGTATGAAAATAAAACTAAAATACTGATATGCAAGGGAAGAAAAAGTAGGGAAAGAGCGAATATAAAGATAGGAGACGAAAAATTAGAAGAAGTGGCTGATTTTAGATA